TGCTACAGACCAAACAACAGCTCAGATAACAGACACAAACAGACCCTCATTCTGTAGAACATTACAGCAATGTTTCCAGGAATCAACATATTCCCATCAATGGCTCTGTGATAAGACGTGAAGCTAGTGTGGAATGAGGAAACCCACTACTCCTAACAGAACAACACACACACACACACTGCTTTCACTACAAATGAAAGTCATTAGTCATGGCAGTGAAACTAGCAGGAGGGTCCAGGTCTGCTGTGGATGGGAGTCTGGTGTAAATAAAGGCAGATCTGGACAGAGATGTTTGTGGACCTTCAGTGAGCTCACAGAACCACGAGTAAACATGAGAAACTGATAATATTGAGCAAAGGCTGATGGGATAGTGTCTTTGGATAGCTCTGAATCACGCACAGGCCTGTTGTGTGTCAGCGGTGAGAGGAGGGCTTTCCACAGAATGACCTTGAGAGAAGATCCGCTCATGTGTAGGGAGTGAGAGTGATTTCATTACAGAACCTCACTCAGCGTAAGTAACTACTCGCACAGAAAGAGACTATAACCCAGGAGTCTGTCTGGTGAAGCAGGCTAGCTTTTAACCCAAATGAACCTCGTAAGTGAATGATCTGAAACGCTCTTCAAGGCCAGAAACTCCATTAATGGTCACTCAACCACGCCACAGAAACAGCACGAGAGTTTGGACCAATGCTCAAAGCAGATCTCTCTGTCTGACATTAGCATGTTGCTAACAATGCAATAGTTTTGTAGGCACAAGCAAGAAACAAGAGTTGGTTGAAATTGTCAGTTTGTAGATTAACTATTCTTATCAACACATTTCAGAATTTAATTAAATATATTAATAAATCAACATTTATGGAAACTCAGCTAACCAACTTGGATTAAAAAAAATTGTGACCTAGCTGCAATGCATTCTGGGGTTGCCTTCTCCATGAAGGAAACTCACAATGCTGCCTTAGAATCGGATCAATGTTTTCTTTTAAGGCACTATATGATGTTGTTGCCCATTATTTGTCCATTGCACAATAAAAAATAAGCGGTTTGCATACACAGGGTTGGCCCTCCTTGGATCACCTCCTTAACGCGCTGGAGGTGCCTCAGTGACTATGGCTTTCTGCGGGTGATTTACTGACAATGCGCAAATTAAAGAACACAGATGCAACATCTCATTTCCATAATGACCAACATGATCTACCAAGCACGGCGTAAATTAGCGTAAGGATATGTTCGGATTCAGATTCGGATAATGTGTTCTTCTGGCATTCCAAATAAATGAATACGTGTGGAAACCCCTCTCCCTTCTACTCTCTGTTCTCTGCGCTGCCTCCTCTAGCAACAACAAATACAGCCCTTTCAAGCGCAAAATAGTTTACATGCTGTTTTGGGGCATTAAATAATGGCGCAAATACCAGTAATTTGACGAGCACAAACGTTAGTAAATCGCGTTGCGTGATTCATGTAAATACTCTCCTCCCATAAATTTTGCGTCTGCAAGGGAAACTCCTACAAATGCATATTCAATAAGATCAGGCGCAAAAATAACTGTTCATGCCTTTTCAGCGCTACTTCTTAACTGCGCGTCTTTAGTAAAACCCGAAAGTACTATTTTAATGCCAAAAGGCAGTTTGTGATGGCGCAAGCTGTTAGTAAATCTGGTATAGATTTTATAAAACAGTCCAATAAACAAGTTAATATTAATTGACTTACATTTTAGACAAGTTCCTGTTTTTGCTCTATTTCGTCAATGAAAATAGTTCCAAACAAAGCCACAGCAGAACTGTTTTGCATCTCTAAGTGTTTCTTTACTGAATCAATCAGCTGTGTGAACGAATCGGTTGAATGAATGACTCAATGACTCACTCATTCAGTGATTTGCCACCACCTGCTGTCGATTTTAGCTTTGCATTTAAAGTTTATTTCCCCTTTCCCCCCAAATCATTTCAAAAATCACCACTGAATAAAATACCAGCACAAGCTCAGCAAAATATCGTCTAATTATCATTATCAACAAAATTCTAGGAAATATTGCGATATCATTTTTTTGTCATTATTGCACAGCCCTACTGGGAAGGCTTTGGGATCCCCCAGAAACAGCTGGAGGAAGCTGCAGGAGCAGAATCTAGCAGACGTGGCTCTAAAACAATCAATCCTCTGCAGACCTCTACTGCAGGGATAACATATTTAATTTCACGCAGTCCAGTGTTGATCATTCTGCCATCATACGTCTTACCATAAATTTCCTATTTACTATTTTGAGTTTTATAGCCTCATTTCTGTTTCTATGAAATGAAGCATGCCGTATACTAAGGTCTATATTATTTTTATTTAAGCATCACTTCTCAAATTCTAAACTGCTAATAAGTCCCGTTTGTGGCTTGATGCTCTTGTTCTGCTGAGCAGAATCTTCCTCTTTTTCTTCACAGGAGCTAAAGCACAGTCTACAGACCTGACCTTCATCTGCAGATGGGTCCTCAGAGGCTGAAGGTATGAAGATGTGTGTCTGTCAATCAAAAGCAGGAAGAGCATGCTGAGCCATCTTTAATTCACTTATGCCGAGCTCGGGGACTGCTTGAGGCGGTCTGTGTGTCACTAAATCACTCAGTGGGTGAGCGATGCAGAAGCAGCCAGCACTGCGGCCACAGCAGACCAGACGCTTTATATATAAAAACACAGACCACAGACTCTGCCATCTGCTTTATAGTTCCATTAGGAGCACACTGACAGCCAGAAACTATCTGAGCAAAACCAAACTGGTCAAAGTTTGGTTTTCTCGAGCATCATCACCGAGCACCAGAGGAAACACGCTGTGAGAGCAAGCAGACGACAGCGTGCCGTGTGGGTGAGAGGTAACAGATGCGTGAGAGGTTTAATCATTCCCACGAGTCGTCCTGTCAGCTGCACCTGCGCTTTATGAGCCAAGTGTGTGGGCCGAACGCTGCTATAAATCCAGCAGAGAGAGTCAGTGCTGATGAGAGATCGAGGACATACTGACAGACAGACCAGGGACTGTTGTACATTCAGTTTTAACATCTTTAAGCTGTTTTGCATTTGTGTCGTAGACATACTCTCAAAGTCATCTGTCACATGAAGAGCGCTGCTGTCACAAAATTACTACTCACGAGGGTTGTAACGGTTATAGAATGCTTTGCATTAAATTGCTGTGCTTATCATATGTACATGTTCAAAATACAAACAAATAAAAAAGAAAAACACAAACAATCGTCTCATTTTGTGTAACTTTGCAGGCTCTAAAATAAGTTGTGATCAACTTTGATCAACACCAAGATAGAACTGAAGTAACTAAAACTAGGTCAAGGTTCAGTCTGTATGAACGCTTTCTTGAGAATAAATGATATGAATCTGTCACCATCACCCTCAGGAGGAAACGCTGGTCATGTTATCATTTCATATTTGCTGAAAAAATAGTAACGTTCATTCTCATTTGCAGTTTCTTTTTAAAATCCAAAACAACAGAGACAGGTTTGAATTCATATAAAATTGCACACTATTTAAGGAATGCTGTGCTGCAAAAATAGAAAAAAAATGTTTTAACAAAATAGTATTGAATTTTGGTTGCAGTTAGGTTTGGTTTCAGTAAGGTGGTTATTATTATTATAAGTATTATTATTTTTTTTTTTTTTTTAAGGAAAAAAGGGAAGGAAAACACA